ACTTCATTAATTACCGAAACGCGCTCACCGCGTAATTTAATTGATGCTCGTCGGGGTTGGCCGCTACCTGCTAATGAGAATCTATAGTCGATAATACGCGAATCTTCAATTTTTAATGTACAATCGATTAGGCCTTATCATTCCACAGTTCAAGTAAAATTGAATCTCTATTAATCGATCAGAAATTTTCCATTTTTTTTTTTTACATTATTTTCATTCTTTTTTTATTTCTTTGATCTGTATTATCCGTGCTTTATCTGCAGGTAAATTAGTACAAACACGTAAATGCATAGACACACACACACACACACACACAGAGAAGTACATATCTCACATTCTATAGTCAGGTACGTGGAAAGCCGTCTCGAATAGACAGGAATCCGGACCTAACTTTATGCGGCTCTTATTAAATTCCAGTAGACGAAAATTGTTAAGGACGACGCTTGGTGCAACCCATTATTTTGGGCCTGCCCTACATCGTCCACGTCCTTTAAAGATTCGATTTGTAGCAGGGGAAAACACGGAACTGTTATGTCGTATGACAATCTATAAGCCTGTTTGGAAAATGACATGTTTTCGTACCTTGTCAAAGATAATCGAAGAAGAAAGTCGATGCTTGGAAGGATATAAAGAAAGAAAAGAAAGAACACGACAAAGTGTGTAAAAGAATAAAACAAAAAATGCTGCTGCCTCAGAATTCACCAATGTAGTTGGAATAATTCTGACGTTTGTATGGATGAGAGAACGGAATCATACCCCTTCTTTCTCTCTCTCTCTCTCTTATTTTCTTTTTTTTTTTCTCTCAGCTTGCATTCAAGACGTCGACCTAGAAAAGAACTACACGAGTGCAGATCTTCCTTACCAAGTGTCTCCTCTGTTTTTCACTCATCTAGCACTGGCATCGAATTGAAATAATAAATTTGAATGAGGTTAAAAGGGAAATACAAGCCAACTTTGGTGTTTTTCTTTTTCTTTTATATCATCGCACATTCATCATCGATATTATTGATACATTATTATTGAAATGATTTGATTAACATGTGAAAGTATTTTTTAACTACTATTAAATATCGTGACACGTATTGAATAATCGTTAAGGACTTTCGAGGAAAATTTTTCAAATGGTTTCTTTTCTTTACACTGAAATTAGAGATAATTAGGATAAAAAGCTTCGTAAATTTAGTCCTGCCATTTTGCTCGTAATATTTTTTTTTTTTTTTCATACAAATGAACATTAATAGCGATAAGAATTGGATCGCAGTGAATTATCACGGCTCGTTTGACTCGAATTCACGTTGAAAAATTGTCGTCTACGTTTGGAACTTGAACGAGCTACGGTGCGAAAAAAGAAAAGACGAGAAAATAAGTTAAGAGTTAGAATAAAAGCAGAGAAGCAAGGTGAAGGAGAAAGGAAAAGAGATAGGATTGTTTTGTGGTTGAGCTTTTAAAGCTCGCACGTTATTCGAAAAGTTCTTCGTCGCGAGTTGGATGAGACAATGGGGTACGGAACTCGCAATTGGATGTTGAGATAAGCTTCTTTTCACGATGGCGTACTGTGGTCCACATAATTTCAAGCGTTCGTAAAATTCCGAGAAAATGTCCCACGAGGTGGAGACGAGGGGGGGGGGTGCCCAGTAAGAAACAACAAAGTTCGTGGTCCGTTTCGTAATTAAGTTCTTACCTGTACTATTTCCATACTCAAATACACAACAAACAAACTGCCCAGACAACAAAGTAAATCGTTAGGAAAGCTATTTCAAATATTTTTTCCAAATAATCCGTATGTGGAAAAAGGGGAATTCTATCGATCTCTTTTTACGATTGTCAATCCACTGTCGGCTTATAAGTATGCGAGAGAGAGAGAGAGAGAGAAAGAAAAAAAACAGCAGGAAAAAGAGGGAAAGAGAGAAAACAGTAAAAACCGAATAGTATTCGTAGTTGCTCTCTCTTTTCGTCTTTCTCTGATACCAACAAAGCTGTTGTAGTTTTATCTCGATTTGTAGAATTCGTAGAATTCAAACCGTCGGTGTTTGCAGTAGTTCCCGTATTTTTATCCGACAAGAAATATTTGATAGTATACTAACGATTTGTTCTTGCGAAAAAAAAAAAAAAAAAAAAAAAAAAGCGGAGTCTAGAGAGAACGAGTAAACTTTTGAAATTGTTGTTACCGCGAAATAAGAGAAGCTGCTTGCATGTATACCAAGAGATTAAAGTAAAACGAACGACGTAATTGTAAATGTTCACAAATAATTTCTATTTGATTATATGAATTTTGTTTCTCGAGGAAAATGGTAGAAGAAAAAAGAAAAAAAGAAAAAAAGAAAAAAAGAAAAAAAGAAGGGTAGTAAAAAAGGAGTTAGAATGGAAATAGAGTTGTCTACTTCGCGACCACCCATTTTTCCTCCACGAGGGAAAAAGCTCTTTTACTGAAATGTTTGCCAAATTACGTTTTGCATCGACGTGGATTATCTTACAGAGTTGAAAGTTTAAAGTCGCGTTAGCCTATTATTGTCTCTCGTTTTCGTTGTCATTATATGGGAAAAGAGGTACGTTATGCGTTCCAAGATCGTCAAATAAAAAGTAAAGATCTTCGTGTCTCCCATCGTACACGACGGGGGTATGAGAAAGAGATAGTATAGTGATTTCTTTCAAAAAGTTCAAGTAGTAGTATCACGTTGGTAATCGTAATGTCTAGTTCATGTTTAAAATAGCTTTTGAGTGGTACATTTTCCTTTAAGATTTGTCACTATAGCAACTTACAGCAACGAAGTAATGTGAATGGACGGAACGTCCATTTATTTTTCTTCCTTTTCTTCTTCTTATTCTTCTCGGTTTCCTCTTTCTTTCCTCTTATACTTTTACTTTTCCATAGTAACGTTTCTTCGACGAGATTCATTTTCTATCAGCTTTGTGGTAAATTCAATCCTTGTAAGAGGACGGGAACAATTCTGTTGTACACAACATCAGAACCAACATCTTATAGTTGTTTCTCGTTAGTATAGATAGTTAGGAAATAACATTTGTCTTTAATTTGGTGATCATAAATCCGTTATCTAGCATTCTTTTTGAAAGAAAAACCTTATAAAGGATTGGGACAATGGCTGCATTCGCGATGCACCAATTACACGAGATTACGAAGAATGGGTTGGAAGTGTGGTCATGGACAAATGAATAGTGAGAATGAAAAGTCAGTTGGAGATAAAAAGGAAGGAATTAAAAAAGAAAAGAGAATAGTTGAAAGAATGGATAATAGACGAACGAAACAAACGGATGAATAATAATAATCTTGAATAATAATAAATGCCATTATGGTTTCTGTTAACTGTTCAAAGATCGATATTTGGGAGGAAAATGATGAAACTTGTTATCCCTTCCAAGTTTTTGTAAATGTTTAGTTTATCAGAACGTTTCCTTGCATTCAATGTTGTTCAATTCATTTTTTAATCAACTGTTCGTTAAACAAGAATTCTTTTTTCTTTTTTAATGAAGTTAAAATTTGCATCGATGTTGTAAACTCCTTCGGTGTAGAAGTTTTATCAAAACATATATGTGTTATTTCGAAATAAATTTAAAATAGAGATAAAATTATATATTTTTTTGCGAATAAAAAGTTAACTCAAGTTGCGCATCGAGTTCCTTTGGTTGCAGTTCCAAATTATGCAATGTTATAAAAAGATATTTACACGGTAGCATAATAAACGTGATACAAGAGACAGAGATAAGCAAAGGGTGTTCGTTAGTTAACTTAAATGTATACGATTAAATGAAATGTGTTCGGTTTTTTTCAAAGTGTTAGTTAGTTTTTCAGCTCTTTGTAGCTTCGGATAATCTTTATTCGTACGTAATAACCCACACATACGTATTTAGATATAACTTTATTTATATGAAAGCGAGAACAAACAGAAGGAGAATTTCTAGATAGATAGATAAATATATTGAAAAGAATAAAACAATATAATTTTTTATTGATAATCCCGATTTTGTGATCTCCGCAATTTTTACATTTATAAGAAATAAATACTACATAACTACTCTATATATACTTGTGGCCCACATTGAAACACGGTGGAGGTTTTGTACTTAGGTATTTGCTTTACCTAGATAATCTATAGAATCATATCTTGATGAAATATTAATAATATGTGGGTAAGTGTTGAAATACTTTGGTGTGTGAGTCACTGTATATATTGGACGTTCTCAATCGAGGGATACGGAAGAGCCTGTTCGAAATGCCTGAACCAAATGAAAGAAAGCTCGTTGTTAAAGAAGCAAGTAGTACTCTTTGTTTAACTCCAGGGAAGTTTGAATTGGTCGCATAACAGCCTACAGCAACCGGTAGCGGTTGGATTTTAAGGGAACGAGTGCTGAAACGTGGCTGGGCGAGTCGTCTGAACAAGTACACAGAGAATAACCGAGAGAAAGCCGTGAAAACGCGCGTATATCACAGACAAGGACATGCTTTGCACTCCTTTTCATCTTCCTCTTTATCCTCCCTCCTGTTCGTGTTCTTCCTTGCTTTCTCCTTACCTCTTCTCCACTTTGTAATTTACCGTGGAATTTCACCTTTGGAATAAGCGAGCTCTTTCTCTCTCTCTCTCTCTCTCTCTATCTCTTTAGACGGTTCCAATTTCGTCTTTAATCTATTATATTTATTTCCTTCTCTGTTACTCCATTCGCGAAATATTACTGTAAATATACGATCCTACTATAGACAAATAATTCAAGGAACGTATGTACTTTAGTCCTGACCTAGTTTATTACGGGTCGCAGCACTTAGCACTAGAATAATTTTCTTTTTTTTTGCAGTCCTCAAAATAAAGAGTTGGAAATAATTACTGAAAAATATTTATCTTTGATGTTGACGAAAGTGTATTACGTATGAATGTGTGTACGTATATATAAATGTATTTAGATTTCTACAGAGTGCGCATTAGAGACACTCTTGATGCGTAGAAAAGCGAATAGAAAACTCGCGCTTGGAAAAACTTATTTCCACTTACTTGTGCGGAAGGAGTACCGCGGTAAAGTTGATGGCGATAGAAACTCGTGGACCGGAAGTTATGAGATACCGACAGCGGATGTTTGGCGGATATAGGCCAGGATATCCGGGACTAGCTAGGACGCATCCGTCCTGGCAATCAGTGTTCTCGTAAATCCAGTCGCATTCTGAAAAAAATATAACATAATATTAAAAAGTATTTGTTATATTTCATAATTATAACAATCGTATATACATATATACTACGCGTATAGATCCGATATGCGAGTAAAAGGTCACGTTTTGTTCTCCTATAAATCATGGATATTCATAAAACGCGCACGAAGAGAAAGCCTATGTGACAATATCGTTCTCCTCGATTCGTTTTATCATTTTTTTTTCTCTCTCTCTCTCTCTCTCTCTCTCCATCTTTTATTTCTTTTTTTATTCATCGAGCAGAGATACATGACTACTGCAGCCAATTAGAACGCACTAACGAGGTACTTCGTATCAATCTCGAGAAACCTTTTCATTAATATATATTCGAAGCTCTGGCACGAAACGACCTGAAACTATTCGATGTAAATTTTCTGGGGTGCCAATATCAGTTCGCAATTTAAAGCAGGAATCCCGATGGAAAGTGCACGCGAAAATTATGGAAAGTTATGAGTAAGACTTCCGTCGACGTTGCGAACTTTGTTGCCTTCATCGATATTTTTTCTTTCCATACCCTAACTCTGTTCTTTATCTTCTATTTTCCCTCGTATATCTTCGATGATTGGACGAAAAAGTAAATAATATTGAACAATCGAAAAACGTGAATCAACTTTTAACGGTTATACGAACACGAGGAGCATTGGCAATGAACTTCTTTGTCTACGATTATCGACGTGGAAAATGTCTTCCTAGTCTAATTTTCATTTTTTCTTTCTCACCCTCTTTCCTTCTCTTAATCGCATTAACTCGCGATGAAATATTTGCAGAATTTCCTTCATAATGCTTTATTCAACTAAGAGAAAGTTCTTTTAAATTATTATTATTATTATTATTATTATTATTAAACTATCACGTTGAGCGATAATTTTCGCAACATTTAATTAAGAAAAGAATTATTCTTTTGCTGTACAAACAATTTCAACAATTTTCTATTGACTAGTTAATACGAAAATGGAGAATCTGGAATTTAGCAAAAGAATAAATATAAAAGAAAAAGGAAAAGAAAAAGGGAGTGTTAATGCGATCGCGAGCAGTACGGGATCGTTCTCTTCATTTGGAAACAAACGGTAATAAGAGGTAAGAGAGTTTCCTACGTCGTACATTCTATAAAATTTTTCTTGGCTGGCGTTTTTTATTCCTGTTCGTTCTTTCGTGAAAAATAAAGGGGGATCTTAGCCGAACGAACCCTTCATTTCGCTCCGTAAAGTCTGAAAAATCGTTCAAGAACTCGTCCGAGCCGAGACTAGACGAGACGAGACCAGACGAACAAATCTAAAGATTTCATAATCTTGAAAAATCTGCAGGTCGAGATATGCGCGCAATTAAAGAATCGACCTTTTTTCTTTTTTCTTTTATAATCTTCATTTTATCGTAAAGATAGTAATCGAAATGGTAGAATAGTATGTTCATCTTGAACCAAAATTGAAAAAAAAAGGAGGATGAAAAAAGTTGGCAGACGAAGAAAGGGGTCTCTACTCGATATTCTTTCGTAATTCTTTTGTCGTAAAAGCTGCCAGGTTGGAGAACATGACGAGGTAAAATCTGGAAGAGGAAGAAGAAACTCGATGACTAGCGTGTCAGAGTTTGCGTCAGGGTTGCGTCAGGGATGTGACGCGAATCTCACCTTCGAAGGTGAGAAGAAAGGCGAGCTAGCGTTTATGCGAGACCCGTCGAAGCGTATCGACGGATGCCAGGTAGAGTCGTATTTTTGTTGAATTCACGAATAGGAAAGGAAAGAAGTGGCTTGCATCCGATGCCTTCTCCTAGTTGATTCTTTGAGAGAAAATATAGTAGATATTTACACACGCACACATATAAATATATATATATATATATATGTATATTCGGTACAATGTGCGAATATGTAGATATCTATGCGCTCTTTTTCAAAAGGAAAAAGATTCGAAGAGGATCTTATACGGTGGAGGACGCAGAAGACACGATGATGGAATAACCCACCTAAGTTGTGCGCCGCAATGCGTACAATTTTTCTCCACCAATCCTCATCCTCATGCTCATGCTCATCCTCATCCTCATCCTCATCCTCTTTCCCCTATTCCTTTCGCGAGCTTTAGAACGAATTTTTCTTATATAATGCGCATCCTTATATCCTCCTCTTCCTCCTCGTCGCGTCTTTCTTCGTGCACGTGCATCCGTACATTAGCTGCACGCGAATATCTACCCTTTTCTTCTTGGTTACGTAACGAACGAGCACTCGTGGATCAATATAGAAGAATACGAATAAATAATACAATTCCTTCTTCTATCGATGATAATATCTCTTAGGATTTCGTAATCGCGACGTACGATAGATTGACGATTTTATAGATAAAGGTAAATACGATTGAAAAATTTACGAAAATCTTTAATTCATCATTGTATTTCTGCAGCACTGGATAACATATTTCTAAAATTAAATTACCTTAAAATAATGAACTTTGGGTCTTCACTCAATATGTGGCATTTTCTAACAGAGTTACCTGTATTTTATATTCCTGCATTTCTTGTCATCTTTATTTTTCCTTCGGTTTCATCGATTCGTTTTTTTTTTTTTTTCTATCGAAGCGTCGAACGGACTAATCAAAGTGGTAGAGGATCAAAGTCCAAATGGCAA